ACCTGGTCTTTAATGATCCTCTGGTCATTTTCGCTCGTAATGAATTCCAACCCTCAAAAGTGATTAACTGACTGACGTAGATATTTCGTTTAAATTTTATAGTCCTGCGAGAAAAGTCTAACCAACTGTTGGTCAGTTGATGCTTTACTTACATTAGAATTATTTATGATCTCAAGTTGTAATTTTATCAAAAGAAGTGTAAAAGAACCCAGGACCTTGATAGTGGATTGTTGCGCAAGTTCAAGGAACTGACCATAAAACCTTTTCTTAAAGGATATTACAAATATTATAAAAAGTATTACATAAAATGAACCCATGAAAGTGATTATAGAAAAGGTCTTGTAACCAGAAGGTCCTGGGTTCGAACTCTGTCGATGGGTGCGTACTGATGAAGAACCCCAAACTAGGACGAAACATCTATCTGTCCAGTACTCCCAGGTCTTCCAATGGTTCTCTAACTAATATCTGTTTTAAATAAAAATCTGCATATGATATAAAACAGCATGTGTGTGCAAATAAGATTCTGAAGTGTCATTAAGAAAACACTAATTATACTGCTGTTTGCCCTATTTTGTAGTATTTGTGAAGTACACGATTTTGATTGTTTGGCATACTTTTTTATTATTCTAATTAACGATGCATATCTTAACACTGAAAATAATCCAATGAAAAATTTATTTGCCAAATAATATAATAAAAATAGTTATGATAATAACTAAAACTCTAGTGGTACGATAACCTCTAACATATGTTGTTAGACATTGTTTCATTTCAATTGTTCAAATAAGCCAATTTTCATGACATGAAGGTCATAAAGGCATAAAACACAATAGATAGGTTTGTTTTTTAAATATCTAATTCATTGTTTGCTTTTTTGTAGAGAGTAATATGATTTAAAATTATTTTTAAAGCCATCGTCATTAAGAACAAAAAACCTTCCTCAAATTTGAAATTATTTAAATTTTTTAAAGAACTTAAAATAAGGACTGAATCAACAGTTTATGAAATGCAAATGATTGATTGCATATCACATCTGTCTATTATTGACGATTAACGAATTATTTTTATGTTTGGTGTATTCTGAGTTATCACAGTAACAGCATTTCTGTTATTTGTGATGGTTAGAGGTATCTATTTGTTCACTTAATTATCTATGACGTTGATTTTTTAAAATAAATAAATGATATAAGACTTAATTATATTGGCACATTTTATAAAGTAAATATTTGAAGTAAAGATTGTTGAGAAAAGAACGATCTTTTATATAAAGTTCAATGTATTTATGAATAAGTGTCGATTGTGTATATCTATTATCGACTTCAGGAAGCACAGATTCTGTGAAAATAATTGTCAACATTGTTTCTAACATGAGAGCTTCATTATTTACAAATTCGCTCCAGAACAATCTCCATATTTACTCTAAGCGAAATGACTGAATTGTTATGAGACTGATACTATTATACACACTAGTGAGGATGACTTAAAATGACTCTGATTTCATGACTTTTCTCAAATTTATCAATTTGCAAATTTTCAGGAGTTGATTTATAAGGATTAGATTTGTTTTTTGAGTTTGACCACGAGTTGATATCAGATAGAGAACCATTGAAAACCAGACAGTACTGGAAAGCTGTTTCATCCTAGTTTTGGGAATCATCGGCAGTACGCACCCACTGGGGTTCAAACTCAGGACAAAAAAAAACAAATTGAGTGCAGAAATATATTCCTTTTCAATTAGCTCTCATGGGCTTTACATTATTATATAATTTTCTCTACTAATATATAGCTTTTTTATATAAAAAAACACTATAGATTAGTGTAGAGCCCATTGCAAGGAACTAACTGAAAAGGAATATATTTCTGCGCTCAAGTTTTAGTTTTAAATTTATTAGCTGTAAGAACTGCCCAACAAAAATTACTGTTTACTGCTGGGGGATAATTAAAACTACTTAACAGATAACAAGTAAGAAGTGCTATCTTGGAATCGAATGAGAAGTTACCGAGCACTCATGACAGCATCCCAAGGAGCTTAATCACGCGACATTTATTGAAGTGTGGTCATTTGGTGACGTTGTGTAAGAGCTTTATAGTTATTGATAAGCGGGGTAATTAAAGTGCTGCTAGTTTTGTTGAAGCCTGAGCAGTCAGATTAAAGAAGTCAGATCTATGTACACAGAAGGAGACAGCAGTAGTTAGCTTAAATCTGCCTTGGTAGCATACTTTTATTTTACCTTTATAATTTTGCTTTCCTTCCCTTCCCTCTTTTCTTTACAGTATTTTTCCATTTTTATTATTAATAGAATTATTTTATCTGACATACTGTCAGTTCTCTTAGGATATGTACAAATCGAAAATCATAATTGATTATTCGTCTACGTGCAGGGTGTTCAAACTGTTTTATGACATGTCAAAATCTTGTTACCTAGTCCTATACTACTTACATATGTCAAATTTGTTTTTCTGAGAAGTTTCCCTGTATTTCAATATTATCAAATCTAGATGTTTATAATTGTATTAATTCTACCACAATTACCCCACTTTATGCGCTTATATGTGCTTTGGTGAATATTATTCACTTCATAATAACGTTAACAGATTATCACCAATGTGTGCGCTTGTAGAGCAGTATTCAGTTGACGAGTCCTATAGAAATTTATTAATTCATTATATACTGCTTTTTTCACAGTTGTTGCATGTTTTAAATGTATTACGGGAAAGAAATGTTTTCAACAAGTAAAAGAGGCTGGGCCACATAAGTAGAGAGTAGACCAAATGGTCAGCAGAGATGTAGGTGCTTTTTAATCAAAAAAATAAAACAATTTTTGAATTGAAAGGTTTAATCAAACAAGTTTCATTGTTGATTTTCAGCTTTTATTCCCATTATACCCCGGATTAATTATAAGTATCATAGTAAGGTTTATCCTTTATAAGCTGCCCATTCTATAATGCACTGTGATATATATATATATATGTAGCCTTCTGAATAACAATTTAAAACGTTTTCGTGGACTTTATTCTATACTTACTTGTCACTACTTCACTAAATGTCTCAGGTTCTATCTTGTGCAAACGAAAAGCAGAGACATCAATATTATTATTACATCACACCTATACAGTTTATAGGTGATTAAACTGATCTTTATCTGTGTTTAGTGTCGATGGTCCAGTAGTAGAATTTTCTAGAAACATGTACATGGTTCAGGGTTCAATATCCAGCCGTCGTACTCCTAAATCCCACCTGACCAGGTGTAAGCCTGATAAAGAGTGAAGGTTGGGCGTAAGGCTAGCAACCCCACCCTGTAAAAAGCGCTAATGCTACGGAAACTTAAGGCCTTATGTCCCACTCAGAAGTCAAATGAATAAAATAATTTCCTGCGTTTAACAAACCAGCATTGCGCATTGTAAGCTGTATATATTTAAATACAGAAAACATTTGGCCAACCAAAAGAATTTTTTATGTTATAATAGTTACGAAATGAACTTGTAATTTCTTACACACTGTGCAAAGTAATCCGTATAGTGGCTTGTAAACAAGAACACTGTACAGTTTATATCTTCCAATTATCGGTGTTTCATCCAAGTGCGTCTTTCTCTTATGTATTCCCCAATGTGTCTGTATGCATTTTAGTCACTAAAACTCTGATGAATTTTTTAAAATGGTCAAAGTACACTTTTTTCATTCCTTTTAGTTCCTTGTGGAACACAAGGCTTCATGCTAAATCTTTGAAGTTTAGGTAGCAGTGATATTTAATCTTAGGGAATGGGGTTGCTGGCCTCATCCCCAACCTTCCCTCTTTACCAGTCTTATTACTGGCTTAGTGAGGTAAAGGAGTGCGTCGGCTGAGGACTCAACCCCGGACCACCTACGTACTTTACCACCAACGCCCAAAATACTCTATGCATGATTATAACAATCATAATTTCATGATGATAAATTACCAGGGTTTTAAGTGTGCATTTTACTACTTTGGATTATTAGAATTTTTAAAGCTTTTATTCTCAGAAGAATTTTTGTGTAAAATCATATTTCGGTAATGAAATTATCTAAAAAGTACTGTTTAATATACACCAGATATATTATGATGAAAATATTTCACGTTGATAAAACTTTCTGTGTATCTCATCAAAACCATTACCACTATTAACTAACAATACATACATATCATCTGAAGAGTTTTTTTTAACTTTCTTGATACTCTTTATAAGTATCAAGAGAGTCGTACACACATATTCATCTAAAATATTTTGAGTTTCGAAAAAAATCTGTGATGAATTTTCACTTTGTACTTCTTAATTTGCAAATCATGAAAATGTAGTGTGTTATCAGACAGGCTGTTTAAGATAACTCTGTTTTCTGATGTATATGTTTATAGACAGACTAAAATTAAAAATCTAGTTATTAATGTGATTACTGAAACTGTGGTGAATATTACTTGTAATCAGATATAGGTAGTATTTCAGTAAACGAATTCAGATAAGCAACAATATTTTTCGGACACTAGAAAAAGTAATCGAAGAACAGAACTATGAGAAGAAGAAGAAGAAGTAGAATCCAACAAGCTATGGAATCTGGTGACATTCGGCCAATTCGCAAATGACATGCAAAAAAGCATTGGAGATATGGAATACCAAATTTATGTACCTACAATGAGTTTGTCCTAATAAGCATTCCCTCGAGCCTCATCGGTCTTTTCTTCTTCACAATACTACTTATCTAGATTAATTTGGTAAAGAAGGTTATGCTATTAGTGAGAAAGTGTATAAATCGTTACGCATATATAGTGAATAAGATTTTCATCCCAAAAATTCCTTTTTGTTTAAATTCATCAGTTATCATATGCCCAACAACATTTTGTTTTTATAATGACAAAAATTACTTGAAATTATTTTTTTGATGAAAAATATTAGAAATATGAGCATAGGTTATACTGAATTTTACCTATTTAAAATTTCATTTATAAGGAATAATTGATTAACTGAACATTTATTTTTGTATTCAGGTACCTCATTCTGCACAAACGTGGTACAGTTTGAACAGTCAACCATATACAAAAAGAAAAGACAGTCGATTAAACAGAGATCGTCGATTCTTCTGTAATCCCATGGGATGTATCTAGCTTATTACATTGTAATTTATTAGTATACAGGTGTGTATGTATGTCACATACCAGATAATCAACGAATAAAATATAAAACAAATTATCATTATATAATTAAATATATATTTGTTTGTTCAATTGAAAAATATGATTATATCTATGAGTGTTGCATTCAAACAGCCTGGTTATCATAAAAATTATTTTTGAACACTAATCATTTGATATCCGAAATTACTGTCTACATAATACACTAAATTTAAAAACTGTTCAGTTGATTCATCACTTGGTTACTTCAGCACTGTAAAGATTATTCCTTAATAGCTAAATAATTTTAGAATGTCATAAATCAGGCTTGGCATCAAGATAAGAAAGTCTCTTCTAATGAATTTCATATCTCTTCTAGATTGACGACACTGTATTGCAAATCCGATCATCAGAAGTTAATCAGTCCTCATGATTCAACAACATGATACTATTTATATCAATGAAGAGCTAATTATTCGTGGGATGAATTTGTACTTTCAATCCCAAAAATTACTAAGATTTTATTCACACTTATACCAACAAATATCAAAGATGATCGTCCATTTTAGCTGAGAATTCTTTTATTTAAGTACAAGATTCTATATTATCAACATTACTGCTTATCTCCTAGTGACGGAACATTGTATACCTATGTACCTGAGTTAAGATAAAACAGGTAACCAATGATTTGGTCAAATAGGCTGTCTTCAAATACTTGACTTAAGATACTCTTTGTTTAAATAATAATCCATCCGCTTCATTATGGAAGCTCTTATGTTATGTTTTATTTATTTTGACTTCTTGATTTTTCCCCTCTGTGGAAATGTAGCTCACAGGCTTAAGCACTCGACTTTCAGCTAGTGGGCAATATCATCGTCCTTCACAAAGTAAGTGTGGCTCATATCCTGGTACATTAAAAATTTGTTACAAGTAACTAAATTATAATTTATCCATACAGCAGTGTCACGTAATACTATTACGTGACATATACAAAACCTGACAGTTTCAAACAATTCAAAAACAAAGCCTGAAGGTTAACCATATAATTAGAAGTATTTCTGTATTACAGAAGTATCATTCTTAGTCGTTCATACATATCATGGTAGCAATGTGGTGATGTGATATAGACAATGTGTGCCAACGGAATATTATTCGCACATATTCTTACAGTTCAATTCGGCATTAGTAACAGCATACAATATATCTATTTGATGTTAGAGACAGAATACTTTCCCACAGTTCACTACTGCATTAGCAACAGAATACTATGTATATTTGAACATTCTGTTTCTTGTCGTTTGATGTAAACCTAAATTAGAACAAGTAAACCTAAATCACACGCTCAGTGATTGGTTAACGAACATAAACTGTATTTATAAGCAGCGGTTTGATTAGTGAAAAATATGCTTTAGCTTCCGTGTCTTGCCCTCTCTTGTTACAGAAAAACTAAGTGACTATTTCGTTCTCAATAGTATGATAAAATTAAATCAAAACAATGAAAAATGAGTTATTTTGAATGTTATTGAAGTAGCGCGAATCTGTGTCACATTATACACACAAAATAGTGGATTCTCTTTTGATAAATTAAACGCAGAAACGTTGTATCGTACACTTCAAAGTCTTCAATTAGTCATTATTATTTATTTATTTAAACGCAGAAGAAACTTGGTACAATATGGCACCAAGAAGATACGCCACACAATAATAATAAAACAACATAGATTAAAAGTAAAAATATGGGTGGAGAACGGAGAAAAAACTTCATCAGGAAGGAAAAAGCCATACTTAAAAAGTTCAAACAGTATTCGTCAACTATCATCGGGAAGGGAAGAAAGAAGAAAATTGCAACCCATTCGCCATTGATTACGATGCTTGGCCATATCCGATAACGTTTCGAGCTATCTCTCGGACCCCAACCAAAGAGTCATGACGCACCAACCGATGTTAACCTAGCACAAATATCCTTCATCCCACGACGCCACGTCATGGACTGCCACCGCTCCGCCTTTGCCATCCCGCCTCAGGGCTAGCGAACAGAGATCTGTACGGAAGACTCTGAAATGGCATTCGCAGCACATGTCCAAGCCACCGAAGCCGGTGTTTCCAGATGACGACACTCAACAAATGGTGATCTCCACTGTGTTCAAAAACACGCCGCCGGACCTCAGAATTACTTATGCAATGAAGCCATCGAATGCAAGCAATCCTGCGGAGACAGCGATGATCGAACACGCACAGCCGCCGCCCATCCTCAGCACGAAGAGGCAGGGTTTCACAAGCGTAGAGCAAAACAGACCGTACCGAAGCATTGTATACCCGATCTTTGACAGCTAGGCTAACGTTGCGACGGCACCAGAGGTGGCTCAAGTTGATGTATGCCACCCTAGCCTTCATGATACGGTTCATCATCATTACCACTCGAAATATTTATTATAAGTTATTGGGGTTGATTACATAAATAACCTAACGCTCTCACTAAGAAGCACATGAAGCATGACAGTTGGTTATAAATATTACTGGAATATTTGGTTTGATTTACGTCTAGGGGTTATTTCGTGTTTTCTAAGTTTTAGTATCCGTTCACAGTGTTAAAATAAAATTTTCTGTAAGTGTTATTTGTAAATTTTGTGAATTTTAAACATAAATTCTCTTTGATAAGTCTGAAAACAGAAATGACAAACATCAGAGCAAAATAACAATGGAATCATTTTATCCCTTGGTTTCTCTTTAGCCGCGAACTACCTGTAACACTTCACACTATGAGTTATAATACAATTTCAACATACTTCTGTTTTCCATTGGAAGTCAGTCCTCCAGTAAAAAAATATTGTAACAACTTTATAGTGAATTAAATTGCAGGAATCTTTACTTACCTTTAGGTATATACAACTGTCTTATAATAACGAAGTTTCTCGCAAAAATTGTTGTTGGGGTATAGCAAGGATAAAATTTAGATATTGCTTTGACAGTTTGATAAATCAGCAACAAGTTTGTTACCAGATGAAATAAAATACGATGAACAGAACTCCGAAGAGTGGAAAGTGTGTAGGAAATCTATTTAAAAGACGGTGTTATCTGTAAGAAAATAAAGTGAGTAGAAACCAGAGTAACAAAAGTTAAAGTGTAACATGGGAACAAAAGGATGTAACCGGCAAATAGAGTTAAAAATGGGGGAGTTATCAGGATCAACGATAAATTTCTTTTGGACGCATAAATCGGTTTTTAATCACCTTATTGCGATAGCCTCAGTGAACCAAAGAATTTTGGCTGACTTGTTTTTTAATCATTCTAAATGTTGCCAAAGCGTCTAATTAGTATCCTGTGTCTATCAAGTGTTTGGATAAATTGGACTCCACTACCCCTTTAGTCGAAGGCTTTAAACTACATATTCAAAGAATTTGACGTAAGGTCCCTTTTCTCTTCTCTCAGTTTAAATGCTCCGTCAGATACACATCAATTTACATACGGAGCTGGAGATAATAGTGTGAGGAGTACTCATCAATTTTCAGCTGAGCCAAAGAGCTTAATGCAGAGAGCACACAGACTACCTTTACTGTAGTATGTGTATTGATCAGTGTTTTACTCAGTCGTTTTCACAGATTATCACCTTTAAATCAGGACGAATATTATTAGCTATCAGTTCATCGTAATTTTATTTAGTATGTTTATTAGATGTATCACACAGTGAAACAGTATTATTTACTGGATGACGTTTCGAACAAAGTTTATTGTTCATAATTATATCAACTATAATCACACGACTTCGAAACCTGAGTTTTATAGTTTTCTTTGTCCTCTCCTATTTGTCGTAGGGGTAGTAGAATTTTCCAGATATCTGGGACAAGTGTTGAATCATTCCTATTACACGTATTTGCAGTTGATTCGATAAACAAAGCTTCTGTTATCAGTCTCTCCCTCCACCCTGTGGCATAAGATTTTAAAACTGTCATCCCATCCCATCCAGCCTATAGTATGGTTGTGTGTAATTGCATGTAGTGCTATAGCTGAACTATTCTCTAGATTTCATATCTTATTCGGGTCAACTAATCTAGATTTTGCTAGGTTTTAATGTTCAGTTAGTCTGACTGCCTCTGTTCTACTAGTTTGACCTATGTATTTGACCTGACAATCATTGCAAGGTATTAGATAAAATAAATTGTTTAGTTTTAAAGGCTCCACAGGATCCATCATTTAACCGACAAAGCTTGTTTCTAATTGAGTTCGTGGGGTGTTTGAATGCCACTTTTATTCCTGCCTTGTTAAGAGTTCTGCGTAAGGTTTCCGAGGTTCTTTCCTTGTATGGAATTACTACTGATGGTTTAGATTCCTTATTGTTGGTGTTGTCTTGCGCATGTTTGATATGCATGTCGTCATTAATAATAATAATATTATTATCACTATCGCTACTATCATTATTTATTTTATTTTTACATTTCCTTACAAATTTCCTGACTAATTTATCTGGGTAATTATTAAGTTTCAAGGCTTCTTTTTTGTGTATCACTTCCTGTCTTAGATTTTCCTTGGTACTAATTAGTTTTTGTGCTCTATCACTTAAATATTTCACCAATCCTATTCTTAGTAACATCGGATGGGATGATCGGAAGTCCAAATATCTGTTTGAATGTGTGGGTTTCCTGTAAACACTAGTATTTAACTTCCCACCTTCTTTCCTTTTTACTCTACAATCTAACATTGGAAGTTCCCCTTCCTGACTTTCCAATTCAAAAGTGAATTGAATTGCTTCTACCTTCGAGTTGATGTGTTCGAAAAATCTATCTATATCCTGTGTTCTAAGTATAGTGAATGTGCCATATACATATGTACACCATACTTTTGGGGTGGGGCTGAACATTTCAATCGCTATGTTTTCCCACCTATCCATGAATATATCTGCCACAACGGCGGATATTGGTGACACCCTGGCAACTCCCTCAGTTTGTTTGTATATTTTCCCCTGGAATTTAAATACTGTGGAAGTCAGGCATAGCTGC